GCAAACATTACTATTCTCACGAAATGCCGTGATATGTCATCTAGATGAAATTCCATGTTTGATGATCCGCGTGGCCGATATGAGACGATCGCACATCATTCAAACGCACGTACGTGCACAAATCATCCGTAAAAAAGTCACAAAAGAAGGTGAAATTCTGCCATTCTATCAGCAAGAGTTGAAAATCGGCGCACATGATGGAGAGGATCGATTAATGTTCATTTGGCCAACGATCATTGTGCATAAGATCGATCGTCGATCGCCACTTTATGCATTGTCTGCACAAGATATGATCAAGCAATGTTTCGAAATTGTTGTGATACTCGAAGGTGTTGTCGAAAGTACCGGGGTGACAACACAAGCGAGAAGCAGTTATTTGCCCAATGAAATTCAATGGGGCCATTGTTTCGAAAACGTGGTCACATTTCGCAAAGATATTGCCGAATATGAAGTTGATTATCAATTATTTAATAAAACATATGAAGTAGATACACCGCTGTGTAGTGCTAAGCATTTGGATGATGTCAGAGACGGATTGCATCAACAAAATGGTTTAGGTGAGACAAACATGATCTATTTTGCTTCTACTTTTGCTACATTTATGACTCAAAACACAACATTCAACACATTTACACATGTCATTCGCACCAATTAAATACTTAACGGAATTATTATAACACCTTTTCTTCCTATTTTAGAGACATCATGCTCTGCTGGTATAATACCACGTGTTTCATCCGCACTTTCATTAGAACCAAGCGATGAATCTGTGGACTCAACTTGTACACCAAATAGCACAAAAACTGCCATTTTTGGTATTTGAGCTTGTAGTGCATAGTCAATGGAGATGGAGCGTGACTTGTCGAACTATTGTTCAGTGAGGAAAAAATGAATTATATATACATTTGCCTTAGTGTTAAGAATGAAAACTATTTCAGAAGAATTTATATTTTTGTGAAAAAAATCGACTTTATTGAAAAAAGGTTTTTAATTTACATTTTTATTATGAAAAATAACCATATTAAAATGACATTTTAAACGTGCTTATTCCAAAGGTGAAATTTTTTCTTGTGGTTTACCATAGAAATGAACATTCGTCCTTTATTTTGCTCGATTCAATTAAATCGTGGTTGGCCTTAAAGATTTTCGGTGCCATTTTCTGGTAAATAAATGATGACTTTGCATGCTCCAGCCAACTTTTTGCTAATGACTACGGCCGTCCTGAATTATACCTAATGTTAAGATAAAAGATTATCTTTGCTCAAATTTGAAAAAAAAAAAAACAACATTCGAAAGATAAGGTATAGTCAGGTATGGGAATGTTGACGTATTAGTGTCCTATCCCTATTTTGGTGTTCCCAGTATATTGAACTGAAATCGAAGACGATGTCAACTACTACGAAGCTATAAGTGATCAGGTTCGATTAATTTGGGGTATTAAAAACCACACTTTTTTTTCACACTTTTGATCGATTTCTTATTTCACTCGTATGAAAAACGTACAATTCAGTCGCTAGAAAAAATGTTCTTTTTATTTAATCGTCCAAAGACGACCAAAATTCTATATTTATCACCTTAAAGTCAACCGATTTTATTTGTTTTGCGAATCACACAATATTTTTTTTCCACCGCAAAAGAAAAACAGCTCGAAAAATATTTTAATATCAAAACCTGTTTACGACTTGCAATCAAAATGCTGCTCTTCTGACCGCTGCAAATTCTACTGCGTGCGACCGGTCTTTGATGATGAAATTCAATTTGCAGCCATTGAACGAGAGCAAAACAACATTACATACACACAGATACACACAAATGGGCGGGATACAACCGTATAACAAAGTGATATGCCACTGAAGAATCATGGGTAGCCACTGGCAATTAGGTGATAAACTAAATAATCTTTTTAGCACATTCAGATTCGATCTGTTGCCAGTGTTCTTTCAATACTCACGTAAAGCGTTTATCAATGTGTTGGTTCAATAACTGAAGCAAAGAAACTACACTGAAACATCGATTGAGTTGACTTTTGTTGATTCGCCGAAATCAAATTTTCAACACTTTTGATTAAACTCTCTGACTCATTCAATAAATTATTCATGATGTTCTAAATCAAGAGCAATTTTCATTTGATGGTGAAATTTTTTATTCTTCTTCGGCAAAATTGAAAGTAAAAAAAAAAGAATAAACAATTTGAAACACTTTAAATTTTGTCGCCAACAAGTTCAACAATTCTCTTGTGTGATTTGAATCGGTAAATAAACAAAAATGTTAATTCAAGCAGACTGCTTGTACTAACGCCTTGGCATAGATCACGTTTGGTGTACGTTAAGGAACTGTCATAGAAAGCGAATTCAACAGTCGTTAACGGTTGCGGACCAAATTCGCCCAGACGAGTTTACGTTTAAAAAAAAAACAAACGCAGTGTGAGTCACATACAAAATAACATACACACAAGATTCGATTTCTAACGTGTTTTGTGAATAAACTTGTAAACTGGCTTGTTTCGTCGCAATTTTTAAAAATCAAAGGTGATACCACTCCCGAGAATTCTGTCGTCAGTTGAAATTAAATGCTTCTTCTATAGGAATATAAATGAGGAGATTGTTTGTCACTTCTATCTCGAGGCTTTCAACGTGAGTGTCTATTAGACACTGTCTAAAGAGCAATTAAATACTCTAATCAATAAAGAAAGTATAGTTGTTATCGAATCTTTCTTTTCTTTTCAATTATGCATTTTAGAGGTTTTTCATTTAAATGATAGAAAAGGGAATCTTGGGAAAAAATACACTAAATTTAAACAAAGAAACCAAATTCATGTTCTTATTTAACTAAATATACTTTATTTACATACTTTTCCTTAAATTACACTTCCTAGATTGGTGGTCCACCAATGGTGGAAACATAAAAAATGCATCAATTCGTAATACAGATTAAATAAATGATTTTTAACACATTCGAGCACATTCGAGCACATTCGAGCACATTCGAGCACATCAGTAAATATGAAAATCGGGATTTTTTGTACATGCAGCTGTATACGATATGCCCAGTCGTAGATTTTCCGATCGGCTTTTTCGGATAGATGCTCTGATTTTAATGAAACACACCACTGCTACAATGTAGAATATCAAGCAGAACGCTGAAAATTCAAGGGAAAAGCAAAAATGGATTAAAAAAAATAAATACCAACGAAGCACAGCACTTCTTTTCAAAATTGAACTAAATACTTTGGGGCTTTCAATTTTAAAATTAATTCATGATCTCAAGATTTATTGATAAATAAGAAATAAATTACCTGTTCCACTGATTGCCACCATATTGAATAAGCTCTCAAAGAATTGAGCCAGACTGTCCCGCTTATGAGATGTATTGGACGCATTGTCGTCGCTAACGCTTATGTAAATTATGAGGAATAATAGACAGACGCACAAAGGCACTATCCACCAAATGATACTGGCTGTTAGAAAGCCAATTTTCTTTTTCGAAATACCCCAAATCCACACTATGCTTGCGACACAGTTTAAAACTGCAATGAAAAGAATCAAGATTGCAATCAAAAGACTTTTTCTTAGAAAATTTTAGATTTGTTTTTGAAGAAAAATGTGAGTTGATGTGAATAATCAAACTGTTTAAAAGTCATATACTCATTGGGCCCTGAGACAAACCGTCGATTTAAATAAATTTCAGTATCTATTTAAATCAAAGTCTTCGGTTTGAAGCTTTAATAAAATTGAACCGTTCAATTTGAAGCGTTTCCAAAACGCAACTCAATTTTGTATTGTAGGTTAGTATGTAAATTTCATTTCGATACCTTCAAAACTAGATAAAAGTAAGACTTTTAAACCTTGCTCATGATTGAATTTTTAAGCTAAACGTTGAATGACCAGAGCCCATTGAAAGATTATTGACCCAATGAAACAATAATAATAAGCTTAATTTTAGGCTCATGCAATATTGAATAAAAATTCACGAATAGATTTCAATCAAACGAGTAGCATTTCGTTTTTATTCCAAGATGCGCCATGCTACGCAAGCGATCACCGCATCGACATCCAAATAACAGTGGAATATATCGCCAATACACTCAAGCTCAATAGCTGACTGCCAATGTGTTTGTTAGCGAGCATCGTACGTGTCATGATTGCGTCAATATTTATGAAAACATCTGGTCGTAAATTTACTCACCAGCTATTGCAGCAACCGCCAAACCGAAATCATTAGCGCCCATCGATAAAAATACATATGTAAAAAGTAAACCACATCCAATGGATATCAAAATTCCAATCGAACCCAACACCGTGCCGGCAACTCGACAATCACATTGAGTATTTCGTCGATTCAATTCCATTTGTCTATTTACTGTGTAATTTCGGGTCAATACTTTTCAGTCGTTCTGATCGAAATTTTTTAATGAATTTCCATTTGGTACGTGATGCACATAAATTCGATGAGAAATTCCATTTAACGCTATTCAATTCTCAATTGTGTTGAAAAATTGTCTAATACACATATACACAGCTCTTTTATTTTGAATTAACAGCTCATGATCATTGGATCGGATGAATATTCAAAACAGCACAGAAGTCATTGGATTGTTGAATGACACAAAAAGTCGCTTTCAATTTGAACTTTGGAATACATTGGTCTTTGTATTTATCTCTTGGTATTTTTTTTAGCTTCAACAGAAAACTCTTTCTTTCTCGTTAAAACTAATTATGAACAAAAAATCAATGTTGATTTACACTAAATTTATTACGTGAAATCACCGAAATCCTAAAAAAATTATTAAGTGCCCATTTTTGGAGATACAACATATCAAAATGTAAAAATTTGCTTGACACTTCAAATTAAAAGGCCAGACGAAAAAAACACAACGGCAACGGATGATTGAAATTTTGTTGTGCTCACGTATGCAGTCAACGCAGTACTGCGAACAAATATACCTAGATACAGATACGATGGTCGGTATTTTATACGCTGCTTTGCGGCACACGACTATTTTAGCAGCAAAAACATCGGAATTTTAACGCTTTTTTCGCTAGCGTGATGATCGTACGTAAAAATTGGCATTGGAGAGTGGAGGCAGTGTATGAATGTCATTCTTCGAATGAAACGGTGATCATTTGAAAGAAAAAACCCATCGTAAACAAATGTTTCAAGTCAATTCGAATGAATTAAATATTATTGAACGGATCATTTTTGGCGGGTAAAAATTTGGATAAACCAAAGCTCGTAATTTATTTTAAAAAAAATGTATTTCGATATTTGTACAGATTAAGGAACGTTTCTTATTTGTAACACATATGGAACGTGGACTTTTTATTTATAAGTAATTATTAAATTGAGGATTTATGATGCACATGATGCAGGTACAAACGAGATTTGAAATTTAAACGAAATCAAATCAATCGATGAGTATTCGAAAATATTTAGATTATCGTTGTGGTGTCTAGTGTCAACCTCCTAGGAGGAAATTGTGTAGAGCAAATAGAAACGATCGATGCGTAGAGCAGGGCGGCATTTTGCTTAGAGCAGCGAATCAGAAAAATTCATTCATTTGTTTCAATGAAATTCGTTTAGAAGCAAAAATAAGCGATATTTTTGCCCATTTTGAGCAGTTCAAAGAATATTCCTTTTCAAAAAATTGGCGCAGTTCAAAAATCCAAATTATAATCATTTCCATTTTCTATACGATCAAATTTAAAAATTTCACATATTTCCCAATGTACATTCTAATGACTGTATGACATAAGACAATCGTGTTGAATTGTGTAGATTTTTCGATCGGCTTTTTTTTATATTTGCTCTGATTTTGATGAAACTTCTTATTATGAGTTGGCAGGTCATGCGTTACTCATCATTGCTCTTCGAAACACATTGGTATTGGTATTTATTTGTATTTCAGTATTTTTTCTGGCTTAAATCATCACTGGAATTTCAAACCTAATACAAATTGCCAAATTTCAGTCATATAAATTCGCTTGACACTTTACTTTGAAAGGTCAGAAAAAACGACGACGAATGATCGAAACTTGGTTATGCTCATGTGCGTAGTCAACGCATTACTGTGAACATATATACCTAGATACGACGGTGATATTGATACGCTGATCTGCGGCACATGACTTTTTTTGCAGCAAAATCTTTGGAACTATAACGTCAATTAAATAAAGTAGCATTGTTCGTAAACATTGAAGTGGAGACAGAGTGTTAATGTCATTTTTCGAATGGAACGTTGATCATTTGAAGATAAAATCATCGTAAACGAACTGTTGTGAGCAAATTTAAAAGAATATCTTATCAGTATTTATTGAATGGATCATTTTTAGCGGACGCTACTGCGTGTGATATGCCGAGTCGTTGATTATCCCATCTGCTTTTTCGAATGAGTTTGATGAAACACCATACAGCCACGGAGTAGAAACACAACCAATAAGCTGAAAATTTGAATTGAAAAGCATAATTTGGTAAAGAAATAATAGATTGCGTAAATCGATGCTTTTTTGTCCGGATGATGCGTTTTCGCAACGAAAGTATAACTTTAGTGCATCGATTTCTATCTAGGATCATTTACCTTTAGCGAACCATAGCGAAACTGCAAGTTTCGCTGTCAATTCTTGAACAAAAATGCAATGAAGTTACACGAAACTTAGAATTTATAAGATCCAAAAATGATTCGCAAGAGATAATTGCGCCTAGATTTCTTACTATTTGGATAATTTTAACTGAAAACTGTTAATAAACTATTTTAAAGTATACTATCAAGCAATAAACTCCATTGAAAACAAAGCTAAGAACATTTAATGTTGATTACCTGTTCCGCCAATCGCAATTAACTTAAACAGATTGTTGAAGAATTCGTATGATCCATCTTTCCTATGAAATGCATTATACGGTTTTACTAGTTTGTTGTGCACCCAGAAAGCGAAGAACAATAAAGAGACACATAGTGGTACAAACCAACACGCCATGGAAACGACAAGCAACGCAATTATTCTCTAATTGAATAAAATCCATTCATTTCGATTAGGAACTGTTCAAAGACCATCCAAAACATTATTGACTTTTGTCAATTTCTGAGCTCCAGACAGCTTACTTACGTTATTAATGCCCAGCCACCAGATCACATTTGCAATTAGATTCAAAACTGAAAATGCATAGAAAAAAGATATTGATTTGAGCATGGCAAATTCAAGGGGCTTATTGCTCGTTACAACGTTGAAGCCAAGTTTAAAGAAACTTTGGTGAAGTTAAAGGTGTTAAAAAAAGGACAAAACAAATAATCAGATTGTCGTTTAAAGTGGTTTACATTGATTCACTGAATAATATTGCACAAAAATGAACAAAGAATTGAGTTTTACAAATTAAATCGGATCAAATGAGTAGCGTTTGGCCCGTGTCTGCAATGCGTTACGCATTGTTTACTGCATGCTTGCGATCTCTGCGTACAACAGCAAAAAATACAGCTGACACACTCATTCCAACTGTCGAATTATAAATATATTCAGTTGTGTGCTAGTGATCTATTTGTGTTGTTTGTGTGAGTTTACGATAAATATTTGTTCGTTGCGCCAGTTCTCGCAATAAAATTTCTCACTCAGACTCACCAGAAATAACAATGAGACCGAGAGCAATTTCGGCGGCGCCCGCGTACGAAAGGTTTAATACAAACATAAATGAGCATAAAGCGCACACAATGCTCGTCAATATACCCACAACACTTAAAATAGTTCCGATGACGATAAAATCGCATCGAGAATATCGTCGATCATTTTCCATTTGGTATATTTTCTTCGTTGAACTGCGTTTAATTTTTGTTTACGTTTTTTCGTACTCTAAAATTGGTTTGTGATTTTTTAATTTTTGGCCGTTTTTGACTTGACACAAAAGTTGAGCCATAAATCCATCGCGCCATTCAATGAGATCGACATTTTATCAATTCTTTCACACACAAATCTTTAGTCTTTTCATAAAACATTTTCGATTTGAAGAAACTCGCCACGAAATTAATATTTAAATGTTTAAATTTCCCGATAAAATTCTGCTTTGCAACTTCTTGACTTGACACACAAATTCATAGTTCAAAACAAAACTTTGACTAACGAGCACAATCTGGTTGCTCTCTCGTACGCAGCTAATGCAGCACTATGGACATTTCCCTAGATACACACACGGATCTTCAACGCTTCTACGACGCACGATTTTGACAACAAATTCATCGGAAATTTGACGCTAGCAAAGACGACAGCGAACGACAGTAAATCTTGCGTGAAGGCGGAAAATGAATTTCATTCTTGAAATATTTTGTCGTTTGAAAGAGTCAATCGCAACCTTTACTTTTGGCCGGCGCAAGATAGCGATGGCGCCTAAATAAGATGTATTACCAATTTGCGGCATTTTCAAGAACTATCAATACTTGTTGTTGTTGTCATGAATTTCGCAACAACAAGAAGTATTGATAGTTCTTAAAATTGCGCCAGACTCTATTAATGCGTCACCGCCACTCACTGTCACGTTGAATACATTGGTTCTTATGCCAGAGAAGCACAGGTTGGTCAATCGTAAACATGTATCATTTTAACTTGTGAAATGTGCATATCTATGGGTGAGATTGAGATGTGTTCACAGAGAGAAATTAGGTTGTTACTTGGTGATTCATGAACCAATGGTTCTGTCGACTATTGTTGAATTTAATTGAAACAACGGCTATGCCGCAGGCTAGTTTTAGTCGATAATTTGTTTATTTCTGGTTGCGACGTTTCGGACACACTCGGTGTTCCATTATCAAGCACTACAAAATCAAAAAAGTGTATAAGTAAACAATATAAACAAAACATTCTGTTCATCACAGACTCACAGTTAGAATGCGTTTTTACGCAAAATTGAAATTCTCTCTTAACGCGA